TATTCAGATTGCCTGCAACAGAAGATTCGTTCTGAAAATAAACTGTAACCATACACATGAGTCCTGTTTGTGAGACCAGATTCCTGTTAATAAAAGTACAGTTTGGTTCATTTGAAAACTCCATTTAGTTTTCATTGTACAGTATTAAGCTGTAGGGAAGCCCAGAGAAAGTACACATCTCTCCAGGACACCTGTGTTTTTCTTTCCTGCTTATGAAACTACACATATTTACAACTAAATCTGAATTGTTAGCTCTGTCTAGAGTCGACAAAATACACCAAATGAACCAGACTTCTGTAAACGTCAGGCTCACAAGCCCTCATTCATGCAAGAGGCCCCTTCTAGCAAAGAATATTTTCACACTTCCAAGTCTATGGTGATTTGTTTTTTTCCCCATTTTGTTTTTTATTTTAATCGGTGTCGTCTTTTGACTGCAAAACTAAGGGCCAGGGTTACTATATAATGGGTTAAGCCAGGTTTTAATATTTAGAACTTACTGTGTTTATATTTGTACTTTAAAAAGAAAATTATACTGCAAGCCACCTTCAGCTCCACTTCTGGGAGAAAGGCAGGATGTAAATCAAATAATAAAGAGATAAATAATTTTTTTTAAAAAAAGAGAAAGTATACTAGGAATATCCTCACAAGCCAGGCTTGATGTGCTGCGCATATTTCTGGACACAAGATTTGGATGTTGCCTTTACGAGCCAACTATCCAATGGATGTTTTGAAGTCCCACTACGGGAGATTGTGGGAATTAAAATGGACATTTGCTCGGATTTCTACGAACGGATATGTGGCTTAATTACACTTGGAACAGGCACAAATCTTTTATCCCCCAAATGTCAAAGGATTGAAATATATATTTGATGTCAGTATTGAAAAAGATTCTGCAGTTGTAAACACAGGGTGAGGAATAGTGTGTTTCAGACCCAGATGTGAATGTGTGATTATAAGTGGTACCTCTCTCTGTCGCATTATCATCCCTTGAATAAGTGCTTCTTTCGTATCTCTGTAATTACAAGTTATCCTGTTATCTTCTTTTTCACCTACAGTGGTGCCTCGCTTAACGAGTACCTCGTTTAGCGGTTTTCGTTTAACGATGGTATTTTAAAAAATAATATGCACAGTTTAACGATGTTTCCTATGGGCGATTTTCGAAGTTTGGGGCCATGCTTTGCATAGCGAATTTATTTATTTATTTATTTATTTATTTATTTATTTATTTATTTATTTATTTATTTTTTCCTATGGGCGATTTTCGCTTAGCGAAGTTTGGGACCATGCTTTGCATAGCGAATTTATTTATTTATGTATTTATGTATTTATGTATGTATTTCTTTCTTTCTTTCTTTCTTTCTTTCTTTATTTATTTATTTATTTAATATCCCGCCTATCTAGTCCCACAGGACCACTCTAGGCGGCTCACAACAAACATATAACAATATAATTAAAGCAGTTTTAAATAAGGGGGGGAAACAATTATATAAGATGGGTCAAACAGTAGGAGAGAAGAAAAGGGAAGATCAGGAATGCGTTTTTAGGTCCCCTGCTTTGCTTAGCAGTTTCTTTTTTCAATTTGAAAAGTGTCATAGAAGGGTCAAAAACTGTTCTAAATGCTTGCATTCGTTAGAGCACCTTCTAAAATGGGTGCAAACTTAATTTGGCTTTGATCTGACTTTTCGTTAATTTTGGGTGAATTTTTTTCTCATCCATAGGAAAGCATGGAAACCAACTTTTGACAGCTTTCAAAAGTTGACAGGTCCATTATTTCCTATGGGGGAGGAAAAAATTCACAAAAAATTAACAAAAAGTCAGCAACTGTTTTAAATGCTTGGGTTCATTAGAGCACCTTCTAAATTGTGTGCAAACTAAGTTTGGCTTCGTTCTGAGTCTTCGTTAATTTTTGGTGAATTTTCCCCCCCAATAGGAAACAATGGAGCCCAAATTTTGACAGGTCCATTGTTTCCTATGGGGGAGAAAAAAATTCACCACAAATTAACGAAGACTCAGAACAAAGCCAAACTAAGTTTGCACACAATTTAGAAGGTGATCTAACGAACCCAAGCATTTAAAACAGTTGCTGACTTTTTGTTAATTTTTTGTGAATTTTGTCCTCCCCCATAGGAAATAATGGATCTGTCAAATTTTGACAGCTGTCAAAAGTTGGTGCGGGAGAAAAAAATTCAGCAAAAATTAACGAAAAGTCAGATTGAAGCCAAATTAAGTTTGCACCCGTTTTAGAAGGTGCTGGAACTATTTCAAGCATTTAAAACCATTTTAACCCTTTTTTGACACACTTAAATTTGCAAAAATTGACTTTGCTATACCATTGAAAAGCATTGAAAAGGCTTCAATGCATTCCAATGGGGGAAACATTGTATCGCATAACGATGTTTCCAATGGTTTTTTTCGCATAGCGATGGTAATCTGTTCCCATTGGAATGGATTAAGAACTATTTCAAGCATTTAAAACCATTTTAACCCTTTTTTGACACACTTAAATTTGCAAAAATTGACTTTGCTATACCATTGAAAAGCATTGAAAAGGCTTCAATGCATTCCAATGGGGGAAACATTGTATCGCATAACGATGTTTCCAATGGTTTTTTTCGCATAGCGATGGTAATCTGTTCCCATTGGAATGGATTAACCGGTTTTCAATGCATCTCTATGAGAAAACGTGTTTTGCATAACGATGTTTTCCCATAGCGATTTTTTTGGAACCAATTAACATCGTTATGCGAGGCACCGCTGTAGACCATCCTTCTCACCCTTAAGAAACTAGGGACTGCTTGCCAAATAGCTTCAAAGGAATTTGGATGCCATCTGTAAGTTTGTAGCTCTATAAGAGGACACTTGGTGGGTGTGAATGGGTTCCTTATTCTCACTGGGCGGCTCCTCCATTTCCGCGGGAAATAAAAAGGGAGATGTCTCGATAATTTTTGAACTATCATTTTTATTAACACCTTCTTCAGGCACATTACTTATGGAATCAAACAACCTCAATTCGGGCAACAAGCCACAACTCACGGAACCCAAACTTTTTCCATAGACCCAGGGACTCAACGGTGAGTTTTCCCACACCATTCCTTGTAGTTGGGTGTCCGGGGAGGAGTGCTCCGAAGGGCACAAATAGCCACACAACAGGCGTGATGAATCCAGCCTCTCTCGTCAGGACATTCGTAGAACTGGTTGTGCGCGATCTCCGCTTCTCTTTGTAGTTCTAACTCTCTAGGTGCCACGATCACAGTCTGTTCCCTAGTTTCTTCTCCCGTGCCCGGTTCAGGTAGCAACCCTCCTACTCATATGTTAGGGAAATCTCTCAAGAGCCCCTGGGTTCTTATATTCTCAAAGGCTTTCTTTCATGCCTCAGTTCTCTTGTTCTCGTATTCTGCCACTACTGAGCTGAACCAACACACACCCTCTTCATTTACAGTGGTGCCCCGCATAGCGACATTAATCCGTTCCGGATTAATCGTGTTTAATGCATTCCTATAGGGTGAAAACTCACCGCGAAAATGCTTGCAGCAGCCATTTTGGGCACCCAGCGGCCATTTTGGAACCGCCGATCAGCTGTTCCGCAAACATCGCAATGCGAAGATCAGTAAGCGAAACGCTTACCGATCGTTGCAATGCAATGTTTTGCCTATTAAGACATCGCAATGCGATCGCATTAGCGATCTCAAAAAATAGATCGCTTTGTGGATTAGTCGTTAAACTGTGCGCTCGTTATGTGAGGCACCACTGTATATCCTCCTCCCAGACTGTCAACTCCTGCTCTGCCACCTTTCCACCCTTGCCCTCTTCTACCAAACAAACCTCTATCTTTCCTGCCTTTTCTTTGGATTCAATTTATCCCAACTTTGTTATAACTGTCAGCCTTGCCTTCTCTGGTTCTTCACCACTTTTCTTACATTCTCCCCCTTCTTCAATAGCCTCAATTACTACGGATGGCTCACTGACACATGCGTCTCCCTCACAGTGGGATTTATTCTTTGGCTGGTCCACTCAAGCTGATGGGGTATTCAGAATAATGCTGATGCATTCCATTGTGATCATCTGGATTGTTCCAATTGGTGTGATACCAGTACTATTTGGAGTTATACGCTGGAAATGTTTCCTGTGCAGGCACCATAAAGTGGAGGACCAGACTGAATCTCATTCTCGCCTAAACATATGCCCATCATAAACTGTTTTAAGTGGTCCAGGAGAAGCATAGGTAAAGAACAGAGGGGAAGAAGGAATAGCCTCCAGAGCCTAAAGGTGAGCCATGCCCCAAGATAACATGGCAGAAATATAGCTTCAAACTCCTCTTATCAAAATTACACAGAAGACATAAATACCGTAGTCATTGGGGAAGGCCTGGAAAGTTTATTTTACTGCTAAAAGGATTATCTGAGGTGTGGGGGGAAATGCAAGCTTTTTCAACCTCAAGACATGAAAAGAAAATAAGCTTTCGCTTTGGGCATCCAATCACATGGGCAAAGCTTCTCGGGTTGCGGAGTGTTAAGGAAAATCCTGCATTTTATGTAGGAAACCATATTGGTATTCATATCACTATCTATTAGCAAAGACTCTTGGGGAGATGTGTATATTTGGGGGTGGGTGGGGGTGTTGAAGGTAGCCAAACCAGTTCTGTGGCCTAAAAATGTGGAAATATCTAGAGATAGTGTTTCCTCTGTAAACACTAAAAGATGACAATTTTAGCCCAATCCCTACCATTTCCTGGCTCTGGTGTCTCTAAGCCTTATATAAAAGAGGGACTAGGAGACCTCATTGTTTCAATATATTGACTAGGATGATTGCAGCTGGAAGATCTGTCTGGCGGGAAATTCACATCTGAAAGTGTCACGGTGGAAGGGGACTAGAAACTTATAAGACTGAACCTTCTGCCCAGAGAGACACATTATTTTCTGTCAACAAGACCTGGTGTGTCTCCCATTTTGCACACAATAAAATCTTTCAAAGACCTTGTAAGTGTCAGTTTGTTTTTCTCTCTTAGTTGGCTATTTGGTTAACCCAGCTAGTAACTGGACCTAAGGGGAGATTGTGAGGGAGGCGTTTTCATCCACATAAAAGAAGGGGAGAAGGGTCTCCCCAGAGAAAGAGGCTCCAGAGAAGGTGTGGAGATGGGATGCTGTATCGGCATCATAAAAGGACACTTGGTCCCCTTCACAGTTCAGGGACACCCGGATCCTTCTCAGCTTCTTACTTAGGGGAAGAAAATATTCATCAGCAAAGTCGGAGGTCCAGTAGCAACCTTCACATCCCCCCACAGCCCAGATTCCTTTCTCAGTTCTCAATTCAACGCCGCCTTTCCTCTGTACAGATTTTCTGGCCACCCCCACAGCTGAAGATTCCTCACTTTCCACAGTGACTTCCCAGTAATGTCTCCCTGTTTTGAATCCGTCACACCCCAACACATAGAGATATGTGTCGAATCTCTCAGGATTGTCCGGCAAATCTTGACATCTGCCTTCATTTCTCACACTTTTGCGATCTTCAGACAGGATGAGGAAGGGATTTGTTGTTTCTGGATCCAGAGTGACGTTTGCTGTTTGGGAACAAAGAGAGACAAGTTGCCAAAGACAAGGTGAGGAGAATGGCATGGAAGAATCACAATGGCGTGACTCTGTCATTAACACACCACAGCAGTTTTGCACAAGCAGCCGTTTTATGCTCTTTCAAGATATACAAGGAAAGCATTCTGTATAATAAAAATGGAAAAAGAAAGCCTTGGGCATCATTGAGGCAGACAGTTTAATTTTATCTTGAACTGTCCTAGATTCCTGTTAGAGTCGATCCATGGACAGAGCTGGCATCTGGGTTTGGGGTGGAGTCTAGTCTCTGTTTCTCCATCCCTGTTATGTGGCCTGTTAGAGCCATTGTTTACTAGGGAGGTGGTGGGGGTGGCCCCGCGTGTGAATCCTGCCCTCCTCCTCCTCCAAGTCTCTGGGAAGGAAAGATTATTGTCAAGAATGAATTATCGCATTCTGATGAGATGTCTGACTGATCTCATTTGTAAGTTCTACATAACAACATGGGTTTTATATCAGTTTCTCTTTGGCGCCTGTATTTAAGGGCCTGATCAAACAGGGGAATTTGGAGCCATCTGCTTCCCACTTTAAAAGGATCAATGTGATCTTTTTAAAAAAAGTTCCCACTGAGGTGATCCTTCCATTCACACTGGGGGATGTTTATTCTTCTGTGAGAAGGGTCCACACAAGTCTCTGGATTGCTAGTTGATTTGTGTGTAAATTTACCCAGTTTATTTATGAATATGGTTTACTTGGTATACCAGTGAGTAAGGAGACAGCAAACGAGGACAGTTGTTCTGGGGCAAGATCGCTCTGGCAGTTCTGGCACAAGGGGAAGACTTTGCAGTGATGGTGGGTGAGATGAAAGGGAGGGAATCACCCCCTTTCACGTCGTTCTTCTCAGGCATGACTGCCCTGCCTTGTGGGGAAGGAGTCCACTAAGTCCACTTCACTGGGATAATGTCAGATATGATGAATCACAGAGTTCTGTTCTTTGCCTCAGAGGTCTATAAATTTTTGAGATTATCCCAGTAAAGAGTGAATCACAGAATTAAACCATACAATCAGTGACAAGCATTTCCAAACTCATCTGGGTATCTCCTTATAAATGTCATAGAGCCCTCTCTGCCAGGTCGAAGAGTGGCTAATCCACCACAAGCTCTGGAGCAGCAGGAAGGAAACAGAGCCCACGGTGACAGCAGAACAGTCTGTGGGCAGTCTGGCCCCAGACGGCCAGACCCTCATTATCTCCACCTGTGCGGGGGTATTCGTATCCCCCATCTCTATTAACAGCCCTTCCCCTCAAGCCCCAATAAACACTTCCCCACAGGCCCTGCCCCATACCCCACCCCCTCTCTGGTTCGCCTCCCTCATCTTTTTGGCACTCTTGCCTTCCTCGTCCATTACTCAGGTGGGGCTGGAAGGCATCTCCCTGCCCAGGTCCCCTCTCTCCCTTCATGGCACCACCATTGCCACACCTGGAAGGGCCAGAGGCTCAGCTGGTGCAAAATGAGTAACACACAGTCCTGCTTGGGGGAAGTCTCTCTCTTTCTAGACAGCTGCAGAAAGAGTGAGCCATGGATTTGACAAGTCTCCTCCTGATGGGACTAGCAATTGATTTAGCCTCTTGCATGTGTAAAGAACCTCAAACCAAGAGCCCCCCCCTCCCTTCCATAAATGTAGTGACCAGTCAGAAACGTACCTTTCTGTAATTGGGATCCAGGTAACAAAGTAGCTGTGAAAGTAAAAAGATTTAATGATTAAGCAGCACAGCCTCTTCTGCACAAAAAATACTGTCCCACAAATATACTGTATGCAAAATTTGTATAAACAACTCATGGGTTTCTAGTCATGTCAATTCATGTTTATTGTTAAAATAGTCCAAGCTTTTGATGCCAATATCCTGTGCCATCTTTGTCAGGGAAGGCAAAATATCAACTCAAACAAAACTGTAATTTGTGGTGGTACCAAAATAAAAACTATACAGTGGTGCCCTGCAAGACGGGCGCTCCGTTTAACCACGAAACTGCTTGACGTCAATGTTTTTGCGATCACAAAAGCAATCGCAAAACGATGTTCCCTATGGGGGAATTTCGCTTTGCGATTATCGGTTCCCTGCTTCGGGAACCGATTCTCGCAAAGCGATGATTTTTAACAGCTGATCGGTGGTTTCAAAATGGCCGCCGGATAAACAAAATGGCCGGCCGCTGTTTTCTGGGACGGATTCCTCGCTGCACAGGCAGCGAAAATGGCCACACTATGGAGGATCTTCGCTGGACTGTGAGTTTCCAGCCCATAGGAATGCATTAACCAGGTTTTAATGCATTTCTGTGGGCTTTTTAAAATCGCTTTACGATATTTTTGTTCTACAACGATTTCGCTGGAACAAATTGTCGTAATGTGAGGCACCACTGTATTTAATCATGTGCCCTTTAGGACCAGCATCAGATGATGCAGGCATTCCACTTTACCTATGAATTGTTTCACTGTGGCAGCCAAGGAGGCATTTCTGTCACAGATGTCCCAGAACCTCCACTTCAGCTCAGGAGGGAAAGGCACAGAAGCCTGAAAGGGCTCCTTCTTCTCACACCTGACGAGAAAGAAGAGCAAGGTTACTTTACCACCCATCCAATTCAAACCAGAATTCCCTTATGAAGGAAAATAAAGGCACTGAGTGAAACGGAGGGGGGGGGACAGCAGACAACCTAGAGCAGTGATGGCAAAGCTATGGCACTCATGCCACAGCTGGCACACAGAGCCCTCTCTGGGCATGCGAGCCAAAAGTCGCTACCCCGGGCAGCCAAACCTGAGGAGGCAGCTGCAGCCGTGGTGCTAGCACCCTGACAGGCAGCAGGTCAGGTCAGCTATAGTTAGTGGTGGGGTTGGACACAAGTGGTGGCAGATCCAGAGTGGGTTCTGGAGGCATCTCCATGCCCAGGATTCCCCCTTCCGCCACCACTTCCGCCGCCACTGCCCACTGGGTTGTTGTGTTGTTGTTGTTGTTTTCAATTTGGGCACTTGGGGTCAAAAAGAGCAAACAGAGGCCTCATGTGATCTCCAGGCTGCGCACAGAAATTAGTGTTGTTATTGCAGCCCCCTAGGCCACTCCGGGGCTCTTTAAGTGTAAGAATACAAAGAAAGAGAGTGAGAGAGAGAGAGAGAAAGAAAGAAAGAAAAAAAGAGAAAGAAAGAAAGAAAGAAAGAAAGAAAGAAAGAAAGAAAGAAAGAAAGAAAGAAAGAAAGAAAGAAAGAAAGAAAGAAAGAAAGAAAGAAAAGGAAGAATGAATATATATGAATGAAGGAAAGAAATGATGGAAGTAAGGAAGGAAGGAGGGATCGAAGAAAAAAGAAAGAATGAGGAAGGAAGGAAGGAAAGAATGAAAGAGAGAATGAAGTAAGGAAGGAAAGAAAGAAGGAAAGAAAGAAAGAATTTTCCTTTTTGTTCCTCAAAAATTGTCAATTTCTGTAGTTTCTATTCTGGGGAATTTGTTGAGGATCTAAGATGTTCGATCCAACACCTCAACACCAATACCTGTGATGCTCAGAGTAAAATCAGGCCTCAGTTCACTCCCCATTAAGAGATGGATACGAACCTCAGTTCAGTGGTTCATCCTGGTTTGTATGCGCAATAGCAAAGGTGCTGCACGTTTCCTTCTCTGGCCTCCCCGACCAATCACGAGCCAGCGCATACTCCTCTCCTCCAGCCTCCTTTGGCTGTTTGACCAGATCACCCACCCAGACAAGGAGGCAGGACAGGCAAACTTGTGCTCCTGCCGGGAGGCTAGTCAAACAGCTGAAGAAGAGGAGGAGAGGAGTGCATTCTCACAGGCATGTGGCCAGAGAGGTGGGGGAAGGGAACGTGCAGCACCTGTGGTGCCGGTGCCATGAGTATGAACCAGCACAATTCTCAAAACTGAGGTTTGTACCCATCTCTACTCCCCATGTATGTTTTAGCTGCAATGGCTAAGCAAGTCAGAATACCTTATAGCAGTGGTCCCCAATCTTAGGCCTCCAGATGTTCTTGGACTTCTAACTCCCAGAAATCCTGGCCAGCAAAGGTGGAAGTGAAGGCTTCTGGGAGTTGTAGTCCAAGAACACCTGGAGGCCCAAGGTTGGGGACCACTGCCTTAAAGGATGTCTAACTGCTAAGTGGTTGAGCTGTGCTTCTCCAGTTGGAAGGGGTAAGGAGTAAATGATTTTAAGTAGCTGGAGGGTGATGTAGTTTTCCTCAACATTCCCTCGACCCAGTGTTTGGGGTCTCCTCCTGGATAATATGAAGGCTTCGATAATGGCTTTTTACTCGGGGATTGACCATCTGATTGCAGGTAGACTGTGGGATGTTTTTGCTATTCCCATCTGGGTCCTAAGAAGAGAGATAGGGCTACTTAGAGTAGGAAGTTGGTTATATTTTTGAGTTGTGTTGCTTTGTAAGTCTTGCCTTTTATGTGTTTCCAGAGTTGCTTTCTAAATCGTTGGAGTTGTTTTTCGTTCCATACGTACTACCTTCTTTCAATCATATGTAATCAAATCTTTATTTTTTAACAATTGTAATGTATTTTATAGACCCATGTTGGCCTTCAGTGTGATATGGAACATGATACCAGCTAACTCCAGTCTCCTAGCTGCTCAGCTCAGCTACTCAGAGCCGGGAGCCTTGGGTTTCTGTGGTTCTGTGGAGGCCCAGAATTGGCATAGGGTGGGGAGCAGCCTGGGGGCCTCAGGTTTCCTTCAGATTGAGGACGGGTTTAAACCAAGGTGGTGGCACTTTTCTTGGTGTAAAAGTTTTGAATAACACACGCACACGCACGCACCACAAGAAATGAAGAAATCCCAAAGTCAAAATCTTCCTTTTGGCAATTTCTGTTTCCATTTTTTAAATGGCAAAAAAAAAAAGGATTTTACGGAGTCAGATACAGCCTGTGGTTGCAGTTGGGGCAAGTGCCGATAGTGGCTTAGTGTCGAGGGCTGTATTGTTATTATTTTCTTTGCCTTGTACCGTGTAGGAAGAGCTTATGGTATGTTTTACTGTTTTTCCTGAGTTCAGCCAACCACTTGCAACTTTTGGCAACACTCAGAACTAATGACCTCCACAGGATCCTACCAGCAATAGGTGTTCAAAAATAAACACGCATTGAGACATTTATAAGCACCTTCATGACTGTTATTTTTAAAGATATAGCAGAATGAGTCAGAAGAACAAAGAGGGCAGAAAGCAGCCCTGGAAGAAAAGAAAGATTGTGCCCTGGTAGTGCCCCTGGGTGGAAGAATGGGACACTCATGATCATACCGTTGTCGTTAACTCTGGGATGGCGGAGGCCAACATCATCTCCCCAGGAGAGTACAAGACTCTTTCCCTTCCACAAAGGCCCCTCCCTCCCAGCATTATCAAAATGAGCAGATTCACCTACCTTTGCAAGAAGTTTCTGACATCCTAGAGGGGGAAAAAGAGAAAGAAAAGAGTGCTCAGGGCCTTTCCCGAGTAGGTCTGTGGTGAGGCAAACTGGCCCTCCTTATTCCACTGTAAGTTGAACCCATTTAGGAGGAGACATAAAATCTCTGCCTCTGAACTGTTACAAGGGAAAGGGGTAGAGTGAGGGGGTATTTCAAGGATCAGGGTTAAGGTGGGAGCTAGTTTTTCGGTGCGCAGTCTCTTTTGGGGCAGAATATTCTCAGAAGGCAGCATCACCATTTAAAGTGGTCTCTCTGTGTGTCCACATCATCAGTGAGAACAGTTTCAACCCTCAAGCTGTTAATGAGAAAAGCCCTGCTGGATAAGACCAGCTACTCCACTGCCCTGGTTCCAAAAAAGGGCCAACCTGCTCTTTCTGGAAGGCTCAGGAAAGAGTGCTTGGTCTGGAACTAAAAGGATAGGCAGAAAAATGACAATCACAAGTGTTTAGTCCACACTGAGGTAAACACACTGCCCTTTTTCATTTTGATGCTCCTGCAAAAACTAAAGTTGGTTGTCTGTACAAACTAGATCTGTTGATTTTTTCCGTAGGTGGGGCCACAAAAGTATTTCAGAGCCAATGTCCCCCCTGGAGAGCAGTCTGGGCTACATCTGCTGTTCTTACCTTCAAGAGTTCCCCAGGGGGCTGCTGACACTTCTCCTCCACCTCCTGGATGAGACCTCCCAGAGAGGAGAGCTCCTCGGAGAGTCTGGCCAGGTGCTCATCCCTTTCCCTTGTGATCTCCTTCTCCACCTCTTCCAACTGGGCCAGAAGAAGCTTTTCTTGTTGGTTCAAATAAGAGACCAGTTCTCTGAAATGTTCCTTTATCTTTTCCATCTCTCCTCTTGTTTGTTTCTGCAATAGGGAGGCAGACAGGAGGAAAAAAGGAGGCTGATGGCAGCAACATGTACATGATCACACTCCAAGAATGATAATATTTGTCCTCCAGATGGTCTTTTCCTGCCGCTCCCCTAATCCCTCAATATTACTATATTTTTCCATGTATAAGACAACCTGATGCATAAAACGACCCCCATTTTTCCAATCCCAAATGAGAAAACTTGATCACTGCTTTCCCCCTCCACTTCCTATGCCCTGCAAAAGCAGGATCAAAGGGCGGAAGTGAAGGGGAAAGCAGCGATCTTAGGAAGTGTATGTGTGTGGGGTAAAGCAGCAATGAAAGGGCTGCAGGATCACAGCCCTTTCATCTTGCAACCCTTTCATGGTTGCTTTCCCCCCTCCACTTCCTAAGGCCCACGGGGCATAAACCCTTTGATCCTACAGCCCTTTCATCACTACTTTCCCTGCCACTTCATTAGCCCCGTGGGGCTTAGGAAGTGGCAGTGAAAGCAGCTATCAAAGGGCTGCAGGATCAAAGGGCTGCGATCCTGCAGCGCTTTGATCCCTTCCCCCTACTTCCGTGTATAAGACCCTCAATTTTTAGTCCAAAGATTTTATATAAAAGTATCATCTTATACATGGAAAAATATGATAGCTATACTGGCTCGACCTGCATGGATTCATAGACTATCCAGTAGGTTGTACCTGGTATGTCTGGAATGCACTAGAATACAACAGAGCTATTGTTGCTAAAAAAATTTAAGAAATATATTTCAGATTGGGGTGCAGAAATGGGGGCAGCCTTCCAAAGTCCAGAACCAGGTATGTATCAAAACACTCTTTCATCTAAAAGGAACCACTTTTCAAATGCTCTTTTATTAATTGTCCTTAATTACGTATCTATCCCTCTTCCTGGATGCACATTGTTAATGTTATTGAATTAGAGCAGCAGACAAAGGATTGGTTAGAAAGTAGTGGTAAATGTAGGAAACTCAGAAAAAATGAGGGATTATATTAGAGAAGAAGGCAATGAGCACGCATGTCCTAGATTAAATCAATCCTGAACTAACTCTGGAGGCAAAAAGGTTGACACTGAGGCTGTCCTACTTTGCACACATCATGAAGGAGGCAAGATACTCTGGAAACAATGCTAGGAAAAGCTGAAGGCAGCAGCAGAAGTTGAAGGCCAAATATGAGATGGATTTATTCCATCAAGGAAGCCACAGCTTTGAATTTACAAAAGCTGAGTAGGACTGTTGAGGAAAGGAAATTTTGGAGATTGCTGACTCATAGAGTAACCATAAATTGGAGGCAACTTGACAGCACATGAGGTCAGAAACACAAGGTATATCCAATGGTATCAAAAATCAGAATGAGATGCCAAGTTTCAGGATGTAGAAAAATGTAAATAATCTTTATTCTGATTTTAAAATGCTTGACGCATTTCGGCACACGGCCTTCTTCAGGAGCTATATATTAAAAACAGAAATTAATTATTCATAAAGAGCAACCATAACTAATGCTCATTTTTCTATTCGTACAGACAGTATTGCATCAATGAACATGCACCCATTTTTTATATGAATTCTTTACAACACAATCTCTATGTTTCTAGTAGCAATAGTCTTCCAGTATGAATCTATGACAATATGATACAAACCAAGGTTTCAGAATTCAAACTTCATTGGCTAATTTGGTCTGTACCAGCTCCAAATACTACATAGTTACAGACATAGCCATATGCACTTAGTAGCAACTAGCTGCTGGGTCAAGGACAACTTGATGCCAAATCTCTGTCTCCCTGCAAGACAATGGGGGCAGTGCTACAGCAAAGACAGAAAGCCTATTTATTCATTAAACCCACCAGGGTCTACCATGCTGAGTCACAGTGCCCAGACAATTTTGTTTCTAAGTAAGGACTTCTCATATTTCACAGGGACTACATGCACAGGGCAGAGTTTTAAGTCTCTTTCTAAGTGGCTGAACTACAGGAAGTGACTAACCAGATTTTTTTTTTTTTTTTTTTTTTTTTTGCAAAATGAAGCAAGTTTCCCCAGCATGCATTGCGCCTGGGAGGTTTATAGCGCCATCCCGTGCATACGTTCCTATGGGAAACTGCATTTCAGTTTATGTATTTTTCGCAATATTAAACGTCCTGGAGAATGCTTTAAATTCACAAACCAAGGTACTACTGTATGTGATGAAGCAGGGCTGCCTCACGACTCCGGGTGCTTTCCATTTTATATTACATTTTTCTCTACATTTCTCTACATTACATTTTTCTCTACATTTCTCTACATACCGATTTTGGCATTGCGATGTCTTTTTAAATAGCTGATCAGCGGTTCCAAAATGGCCACCGGGTAAAAAAAATGGCCGCCTGCTGTGTTTTCGCACGATTTAAGAACTAGTTCCCTTTTTAGATATAGTGACACTTACAAGTAACTCTTGGCTTTCTTTTGCTGTTTCTGCTTTACAGGCTAGGATTTCTGCTCTCTCTTCTTCCAGAGATTCCATGAGAACAGAGATCAGATCCTAAAGAGAAAAGAGAAGTCCATTTTTAATTCAAAGGAGAACTGAGGCAAAGGCAAGCTTGCTCCCTACTCAAGGAGGGAAGGGCTCTCTTTCATCTTGGATTAGCCCACGACACCCTCCAGATTGGTTCGTCCATGCCCTTAATCATCCCTCCTTGAAATTTTGGGGTGAAGCTTTCCCTGGGAGTCAAAAGGCTGCTCCTCTTGTTTCAAACGAAAATGACATCGTTGTGGGAATGTGAGAACGTTAAATTCTTCTGGAAGAAAGAAAAATAATGAACCCATCTGATTTCATATGATTTTTTCGTAGGATCCTTGTCAAACCAACATCAAATCATAGATCCCATCTATGTCCACAGACTACCCCACATAAATCATGGGTCTTTCTGCACATGGCTTTGCAATGGTGCAAAAAACATGGATCCAAGGCATGGATACTCATGACTTTATATTATTTTTAGATACATTCCTCTCTAAACCACAATCATATCATCTGTGCCCACAGACTATACCACAGAAATCACCACAACAATCACTGCTATGGTGCAAAAACATCAATGCCAGGGAGGGATCCTCATAGATTCATATTATTTTTACGTGAGACCTTCCCCAAATCGTAATCCAATTTAAGCCCATAAACAACATGACAGAAGTTATGGGTCCTACTGCTTATAGCTTTGCAGTGGTGAAGAAACACTGATCTAAGACAAAGATCCTCGTGGATACACATAAATTTTACATTGGATCATCCCCAAACCACTGCCCAGTCATAAACCCCATCCATGCCCACAGACTTCGCTGCAAAAATCATGGTTTTATCAGCGCATGTATTTATTTATTTAAAATACTTTAAACCCACTTTTCTCCTTTAAAAGGACCGAATGTGTCTTACAACAATTAAAATACAGTATTTAAGTGAGTAGGCAAAGCTAACAGGATGAATGAGTACAATACTGAACGAGTCAAATGAACACATTTACAGTATATAAAAGAATAACTTAGCCTAACAGTAGCCATCTTGCTTCTGTAACTTGCTTTGCTACATGAATGTGCAACATATTACTGTATATCAAGTTTCTGCTTAGTAGACAGAAACAGACAAAGGAGGGAAGCTGCCTGCATTCCTTTACTTGCAAGTAACTAGCTTTAATTGGAATTTGTCCTTGATTGCTGATAAGAGAGCTCAGTAGATCGCCAAGAGCCTAGGCACCAGCAACCCTTCCCTTCTCCCCTCCTTCTATGCAACCCTTTGCCTCCCGTTTTTATCTAAACTTATAAAATGTATATTTTGTATAAACACCTCATGCCTCTCCTCCGCTTGTTCTGGCGGAGTTGCGTCCATTTACTTTTGATTCTTTCCTGCTGAAAATAAACAAAAATACAGTGGTGCCTCACTTAACGATTACCTCGTTGAACGACGAAACCGCTTGTCGATGAGGTTTTTGCGATCGCTTTGGCGAGCGCAAAACGATGTTTTCATGGGCAAAATTTGCTTCCTGACGATCGGTTCCCTGCTTCTTCACATTACGATGTTTTTCAAACAGCTGATCAGCGGCTGTCAAGATGGCCGCCCGCTGTGTAAAATGGCTCCCCGCTCTGCTTTAGGACAGATTTTTCGCTGCACAGGCATCAGAAAATTGCTGCCCTATGGAGGACCTTCGCTGAACACTGAGGTATTTAGCCCATTGGAATGCACTGAGCAGTTTTCAATGCCTTTCAATGGGCTTTTTTATTTCGCTTGACGAGGATTTTGATCTACAGCAATTTCGCTGGAACGGATTATCCTCATCAAGCGAGGCACCACTGTATATTGGATCTCCTTGTCCCTGTTTATTTGAAAATATGTCAGAGACAAGGTTAATGTCCAGAAATTTGTTCTGGAACACTTCAAAAAAAAAAAAAAAAAAG